AGCTTAATAATTATAAAAGTTTTACTATATATTTATTTTATTTTAAAATTATATTTAAAAATTTTATAAATTTATTCCTGTACATTATTGCACAGGTTTACAACTAGTTAAATAACAAAAATATTAAATAACAATTTTTATATATTAAATAATGATAATTATCGTAAATTATAGATTTTTTCTTGCATGTTATTACATAAGCACGACAATTTTGAATTGAAACTTAGTTAGCCAACCGATTCTATTAACAATTGCCACATCAATGAATTGACAAATGACTAATGAGAATTTTATTACAAAAAAAATTAATTAGTGATCCAATAATTTATTATTTGAACACAAAATATTGTACGATTTGACCGATCAAATTTTAAATCTTGAAACTTGATTTGTCAAAATCATACAATATTTTGTATTACTTGTACCTTTTCCCTCACGCTATATTATAATTTGAGTGCTGCTAAGAAAAATCTAATTTGTTATCGAGCTTTTAATTGGTGATCCACCAGTCAACCAGAGAATAATTATAGTAAAATGTGACTCAAATTACTTATAAAAATTGGAGGTCTTCAAATGTAGCATGTGCGCATCTAAAACTTTTTTCATACTAAGTTAATCACTTTTCTAACTTAAGAGACTTTTGTAGAGCTTGTCAAGATGCATCTAATGGTGGTTAGAGCGTCAAAATCGGCTTGGTGGGTGCTGAGATATCTTTAAAAAACATTTTTTTACTATGTAAACTTCTTTGCAAAGAAGTTTATATAGTAAAAGAAACATTTTTTAAAGATATCTCAGCACCCACCAAGCCGATTTTGACGCTCTAACCACCATTAGATGCGTCTTGACAAGCTCTACAAAAGTCTCTTAAGTTAGAAAAGTGATTAACTTAGTATAAAAAAAGTTTTAGATGCGCACATGCCACATTTAAAGACCTTCAATTTTTATAAGTAATTTAAGTCACATTTTACTATAATCGGTTTCTGGTTGACTGGTGAATCACCAATTAATTATATTTTACAATGAATATTTAAAAAATATATGTCTGGTACAAAATATAATTGAAAGCCCGATATCAGATTTTTTTAATAGCACTTATTTGTATATTAGTGCTGCTAAGAAAAAACTTGTTATTGGGTTTTCAATTATATCTTGTATTGGACAAAATCTATTTAATTTCTTAAGGAATATATATCTGGTACAAAATATAATTGAAAGCCTGATAACAGGTTTTTTCTTGTTAGCATTTATATTTTTTTTTATGTTGTATTATAATTAATAAAATTATTTAAATTCTATAGTATTTGTTTTTTGTTTTAAATTGTAATTTTAAACAATTTTAATATTTCTAATTTAAGTATATCTTTGTACAGTATTAAATGCATAAATATAAATAAAATAAATTTGTTTTAGAATATAATAATTGTTTTTTAATTATATTAAATAATTATATATATATATTAATTTGTTAATATTGTATATAAATATACTGTATATATAAGATTATATCAATAAATTATTTATAAATATTGTTAAATTTATTAAAAAAAATTTTTAAATTTTATTACAACATTTTTTATTAATATGCCTAAACAAAAAACTAATCAAGGACCTTGTTCTATTTACAACTATAACAAAGAATCTATAAGATTTAAAAGTTTAACCGATAATGCTTTTGCAAAAGTATTAGTTGCAGGATCTCTTCAACAATATTTATATTTGCAAATAGATCAACAAATTTGCAATGCTCATTATATAGAAATTGTTGAAAATGCTTAGAATAATTTAAGAAAAAATTATCAAAATAATATTAGTTTGGATAATATTAGTTTAGATAATATTATTGAAAATAATAATCCTGTTGGTAAATATTTATATTTATTTAATTATATATTTTTTTTTTTATAATTCGGCAGTCATGCTTTAACTTTATTAGGCTTTGTACAAATCCTCTAGACTCGTAAAATTTTACACTAAGTTGCA